TTTTTTTTTTTTTTTTTCTAACTACCTACAAATCATGCGCTATAAATATGGAATAGAGGTAACCTATCTGTAACTGATTTTTAGGCATGAATGTAATTAATTATTATCTATTAGGTATGTACATAATTAAATTCTTATGAATGGTAATATTACAATATCTTCCCAATTGTGTGGGATGAATAAAAATTTCCCTTATAAATTTTCAATTTCGGGCTGAACCAGCCCTGGCCGTGTGAGATCAAATATAGCATGTTAGATTGCTTTGACCGTTAGAGATCCAACGGTTGTTTTGGAAAAAGAAAATTTTAAAGGGTTCTGGGCAGGTTGGTTCGGACCCGGAACCAAATCGAACCCAAAACCTACAAAAGTCAAAATCTGTTTCAATCACTTGAACCGTCGGGCCAACCCAGTATCAGCGATTCAGTAATTAAAATAAATAATAAATAAATAAATAAATCAGAAAAAATAAAAAAAATCAATAAATACCCCCAAAAATCCAGAAATTCTATGGTGCCACATGTGGCACCATAGAATTTCTGCCAAAAATCTGAAAATTCACACCATTCTCACTTTCTTTATCTCTTCTCTAAGTTTTCTTGCTATATTTTTGCTATTTTGTGCCCGATTCTTGATAAATTCAATACCGTTCTAGATAAATTCGGTTCCAATTCTATAATATTTCTCATTTCAGTTTCAATTTATAAATTATCTACATAATACTCTCAATTTTATCATCTTCACCCCTCGTTTTTATTTTATAAACTCTATTCAACTCATAAAACGATGAGCGCTCGTGCTGGTGCCGGGAGACAGCTACCAAAAACGCAAGAATGTAGGCGCATCCACGAGTGGTCAACCTCCATTGCCGATGCCGACGACACACTGGGATGTTCCGAGTCTTTCACTCTATTAATAAAATCCAACAGAGATTACAGTTCGAGAAGGACGAGGACCAAAAGGAGCCATATGCCGACGATTTCAATCCTACTCAAGGTTAACCTGAAGGGGTCGATAGTTGACATTCGACATATTCACAAGGCAATTCACGAGAGTGCCCAACGCGAAAAAAAAAAGGTGACAAACATTACGACTGTGTAATCGCATCCCTACAAAGTCAGTTGACGAGGAAAGTGTCTTAGCAAAAATTTTCTGTAACATTAACAACAGCAGTAGATAAAGCTCCATGACAACCAGCACATACCTGAGCATCTTGTGGAAGGAGCAGCAGTATAGACATGAAGAAAAGATTAAGTAGTATCTGGGCAGTTACCATTCAAAAGTGGTATAATACAAGATGATTCCATTAATGGGTGTTTAGCTGTTTACTGTTTACAAATAGAAACAAAAACCAGTACAGACATGAAGAAAAGATTAAATAGTACCAATCAATCAAACCTGTGAATCTTTTGTGTGTCCCGTTAACTGCTTTAAAATTGACGGCGACGAGGAGATGCTGCACACAGTCAACCTTCCATCAGCTCCATAAGCGAGCAGATCTGAACACATATGGCCGAAGAATATCAAACACAATAATACAACTCAAGATAGTTTTTAAAAGACAAGTATGCATTATAATAGGTGTGAGATATTAATTTTCTGCTCGATGTGGGAATGTCTCTCATATGTACCTGCAACTCAAACGCCAGACCACGTCACATGAAAAAGCATAGTCCCAATCGATAGATAATATATTTCAATCTTTTCTAAACTTGCACGATCCGAACTTTAGAAGACAAACATCAATAACCGAGATTTCTAGAGATTGAACACTGAAATTTAAAAGACAAATTACCACGTTAAAGTTTCTCAAACCCGAGGATTCGTAGTTCAAAAGGCTACTGACAATTCCTACTCTTCATATTGTCACCCTTCTCAGGAAATTCCAACTACAGATCACAAAATGACAACAAAAAAAATAAATTATTTCCTTCTAGAATAAGCAGTAATAAAATCATCTAACTGTATTCATGTGTATTGAAAAACTACATGTCTTGAAGGGTTTGTTTTCACCAGGCAATGCAATTGCCAATATACAAGTCACAGGCTCATCCTAATCAATTTACAATTAGCAAGTTACAGATGTTTTAGAAAAAATGAAATAAAATGAACAGTTCGGTTGTTGGAGTAAACAAGAAATCAAGGAAAGTAATAAATACATAAACATTAAGGCACAAAGGATGCAATTCTAAACTATCTACATTTTAGAAGTTAAAGAACCAGCTCACAAAATACAGTTCTATGCTCTGTTATTTGCAATATAACTATCAGAAAATGAAGAAAAATGTTCTGGGACCTTATGATTTCCGGCATGTCCAAATCCAAGGGTGATTGGCCAAGACTCTTTCGACAAACTAACTCTTAACATCGAGTACTAACAGCTATGATCTAACGGATAAAGAATTAAATTGAATGAATTTCACTCAACAGATATCATCATATATTTTAAGATTTAACACATCATCAACTAATCAATTTCATACCTGTAGCTGATTTTTCAGAAATGCGCGTTTTGGAGCAGCATGACTTCTTGAGATAGCTATATATATATATATGTCATTTACAGAATCTTGGCTTATTGACATACTACAAAAAAGAAAAATATGTAAATACATTTACATTATCGTCAATTCATTTATTTATGTTATATAGTTGTTACATTATTCGATCGCTCGAAGGCTGAAACATATTTATATATAACTTGATACAACAAAGTGAAGTTTCAACTTCCAAGCATTACCAGAAATAGAAAGATAGGGCCACAGAAATAATCGACAACTCGTGCTCGATCCCTGTCATGCGCTAGCTACGGTCTCGTCCATGGGATTCCAATAGCGATTGTAAAACCACTTGGAATCGGCTTTCACGGCGTACCCATCTTCATTACGGTGCCAGCTGTAAAATGCGTGGCTTCTATTTTTTATTTCTAAAGTAGCGTGCCCGAAGCTTGCCTCACGAAAGGCCGAATATGCGGGCTGTGGTTCTGTCATGCTGGAAAATAAACAACATAGGATGATATTTTCAGTTCGAAGTATCGTGTTTAAATTAATTAAGTTGAAAAGGCGGAATATTTTCGAGCTTAGGAAAAGGACGAATGCGCCTTACACGGTGGACAGGCCCTCAATGTTTCCACCATCGCCGATGGTTATGTGCACAGGGGCAGATTGGTCATACAATGGAGTGCACTTTCCGTTTGTGATGTTGTATGCAGAATTTGATATGCGCTCCTGTTAAAAGTAAATGTAATGAAACGATGTTTGGCCAAGTTTTTTCAAGTCACTCTTTCATAAGCTCTAGCTAGCTTATAAGAGTATAAATATTCCACACACGCTTTCATAAATTTGATTCCGTTTGATATCTAGCCAAGATCTTGCAGTTTTATGAGCCAATTTTCCAGTTTCCATCTAATGTTGCGTAGTTATATGATTAAGATGAGAAAAAATGGCTAATTTTTCATGACAGATGATGTATACTTATATCATGCTTACAGATCGTTCGTAGGCATGGACATGGCCAGCCAAGACTACGTCGACTTTGTACTTGACGAACCATGGTTCAAACAGCACTCTCATGGTCTCACCTTCCATGTAATGATCTTTGTAGCTGTTATAAAATGGCGAGTGGACAAGAACAATCAGCCATGGTGTCTCTTCTCGATTCACCTTTCTGAACTCGGCTTCTAACCAGAAGTACTGTGGAGTGTACGTGCCTAGGATAAGAACAACAGATATTCAAATAACAGGCATATAATCAATTTTGCTAAATTTAGCACATACACTTGAAAGCTTGTGAAATAACTTGTTGGTACATACCAAAAGCCGAGTATGAAGATAGAACAATGATATATGCCGAAGCCCTCTTGATTGAGTACCAAAGGGGTGACGTACTGTTTGATGCTTTATAGGGAACGGGATATCGGCTAGTGTAAGGCTTAAATGGTTCCGGCTCACCCTGCAATTAACAAGTCGCGACGAGTTTATCATCGATTTTAAATGCAATCTACATTTTGCCAAGTTAAGAATATTAAAATATGATATACCATACTGATAATCATTTTCAGACAAGAAGCTACTTATGTTATTGTTTATCTGTGATGCTTCTGGAATATACATTAACTATTGCAAATACTTTTTTTTGCAATTTCTTGATATAATAGCAAGATATTCTCGTACAATGTCTCATCCATATGCCTGTTGTAGCCTATACCAAAACTTACGATAACACAAACTATAATATCGATGATAATTACTATCTTCGAGGCACCTTATACTCATTGGGTTCGTTAATCTTCAATCATGCATCATACAATTAACACGACGTCTAAAAAAACACAAACTCACTATTTCAGGGGCAAAATCGATTTCGTGATTGCCAGCAATCCAAATCCAAGGCTGATACGCATTACTTCTCTCAACAAATCTTCCCCAAGTATCCCATCTATTGTTGTCGTGATTTGGATACTTATCCGCATACGACAGGTCACCCACAAACAAAACCGTCTCCCCTTTGATTGGATTTGACTCGTAATGCGTTAGAGTTGAGTTTGAGTCATAAGTCTGGCCCAAATCCCCTGCATTTGATCACTACAGATTACAAGTGTTGTTAAAAAAAAATAAAAAATTACAGTGTTCTCGACAAATGACAGCGGCCCTTCAGGGCATGCATACAAACATGCTTAGCATGGATAATGTTTCGAGACTCAAAAGTTTTAATTTAGTCCAAAAACTCATAACCAAAAAAAAAAAAAAAAAAAAAAAANNNACAAAGAAAAGAAAACTTTTGCTACCTATGAGACCAAATGTATATGGAACATCAGGACCAACTTCAGGGGGAGTTCTGAACCAGAAAATCCTGGGTGCTTGGCGATAGCCCACCAGGTAGTAGTATTTAGTATCGAACTGCAATCAAATATTAGCGTCACACAACACATACTTTCAAACAGAAGTGTCATACTTTAAATATAACATATGATATTCCATAGTATAAGTATGCATTTTTTGTTATAAAAAAAGTATGAAGAGGCAACCCGTCTAACATTTAGGCCACCAAAAGATAGACGACAGGAGTAATTTTGACCTGCAAGTTCTCGATTGTGCAGTGATGGATGTAGCCAGATGTGTAGGTGTAGAATTTGTATTTGGTGTAGGTACCCTTAGCCTTAAGCTTGCACCTAGGGTCCGACTCGCTCCAATATAAGACGGTGTCAGAACCCGGTTCGGCCATCGTAACCCATGACACGATCACGGCTTTTCCGACATGGTCTCCTTGTATTATGTGAACCTTATATGTATAAGAAAAAAAAAATATCCAATCTATTGATACACTTGTACACAGTGACGGAAACCTATATAAATGGATATTAAATTCTCATAAAATAAAGTGAAAATAGTCTTTTTCACCTCACTAAGAAAATGTATTAGGTTATTCACACTGTTGATAAGTTAACTTCTTCAACTCAGAAAGTGCGAAGGCATTGTACGATGAATATGCAACAACTATATGATGAATATGCGATAGTTATGCGATCCATTAGCATAACCGCGATCCATTCGAATAACTCTTTGCACTACTTTCTGGGGTGAAAAAGTTAAAGTGCGTAGTGTAAAAATCTTAATATATTTTATAGAGGGGTGGAAAAGATGATTCCCCAAAATAAATATACAAGTTCAAGTGGCAAGCATACTCTTTTGAACAACAATAATATAATTTAATTCTTTGTTTCCATTTTCATATTATTACACTGAGGAATTTGTACTTCTCATGCCAGTTCAGAATGTTCAAAAAACAACAATAATCAGCAACATTAGCTAAAACAGCATGGTTTAAAACATAAGTATATGTCTCACAATAAAAATAATTGAAAAAAAAACAGGAAGAGAACTAAAGCAGTCTAATTAACAAACCTGTTGCGGCGCATTGTAGCCAGGAGGCTCACGGAAGACATCGCTGTCGAGAGGCATATCCTCGCTCTCATCGAATTTCCTTACAAAACTACTTGTGATCCCTCCAAGGCACACATTAGCAAAGATGTTCAAAATCAAACTCAGCAAAGCTACTAAAGAAACCATCCTCAAAGTTAAGAAACAAAATAAGTTTTTTTTCCTCTGTTTCTTATGTTATGTGTGAGTCATATTACACCACACACACACACATATATATATTTTATGTAGTGTAAGCGTTATGGTTTGTTAGTTAACAACATTTTATTTTTGATTGAAACCACAGTAAAGCATGAGATTCAATGCTTGCAAGTAAGGTCAACTTTAAGAATTTTGATTTCAGATAAGAGTCCAGTTGCTTAAGTGTCACTCGACCAGAAGCAATAATGGTTGCATTCCCTCATCACAAGTTTTTCGTCAAGTCAATCTTTTACAGTGAATTTGCGACTACAACTTACTAAACGGATTAGCCAAATTAATCTGCAAACTCACCCATAAACATCGACTATCACTTGGAAAGCTGAAGTGAATTTGTTAGTTCTAAAATAGGTTGGCGGCATTTTGCGTGTACCAATACAATATGAACACTAATAAATGAAAAAAAAAAAAAAAAAGTAAGTCATTCAACTTAACAACATTTAATTCTTAATTGAAACCCCGGGATAGCATGAGATTCAATGCTTGCAAGTAAGGTCAACTTTAAGAATTCTGATTTCAGATAAGAGTCAAGTTGCTTAGGTGTCACTTGACCAGATCAATAATGGTTGCATTCCCTCTTATCATGTTTCTCGACAAGTCAATCTTATACAGTGAATTTAAAACTAAAACTTACTAAAAGGATTTGCCATATTAATCTGCAAACTCACCCATAAGCATCTACTATCTCTTGGAAAGCATGTGATTCAATGCTTGCAAGTAAGGCCAACTTTAAGAATTTTGATTTCAGATAAGAGTCAAGTTGCTTAGGTGTCACTTGACCAGATCAATAAAGGTTGTGCTCCCTCTTAACATGTTTCTTGTCAAGTCAATCTTTTACAGTGAATTTACAGTTACTAAAAGATTTACATATTAATCTGCAAACTCACCCATAAGCATTGACTATCTCTTGGAAAGCTGAAGTGAATTTGTTAGTTCTAAAATAGGTTGGCAGTACGCAGGACTCGGAAAATCGCGTCGACCTGTGAGTTGGAGCCGAAGGTTGCCTTATGTAAGGCACCCAGGATCTGCAATAACAAATGCCTGAATTTCTCATGACTGAAATTTTTGAAAAAGATGCTAAAAATAAACGAAGAAATCAAATTGCAGTGTTACAAAACATTCACCTCCTTCGCCACAGACTCACAAACACAGGACACCTTAACTTGAATATATCGTGAAACACTGCAATAAGTGTTCAACGATAACACTCATTAATCTCTCTAATAAACAAACGTCACGTTTTATCAATACAAAATGAGAGAATTCTCCACTTATCCACGGATAGACACAACCCATCAATTCAATCACTAAAACGCACGTCAAAACCTTAGATCCGCTACTTTGCTAAATGAAATCATAACGACACCAATTTTACCACTGCATTAGTTAACAGCAGCAACACATGTCTATATCTCCATCAGCATCATCCCAATTTCCATATACAGAGCAGCCCGGTATAACCAGCTAGATTTCAATCAATCGTAGCTTAAACATCACTCAAGCACACGAACTACGTGTCCTAATCAACTCAGACAGCAACCCAGGCTTATACACATCAATTCGAAAATCCATCTTCACTTCTTCGAACAATATCAACTAATTCAAGTCCTCGCCAATCAACTATCTTCATAATTACCAGAATTTACCCAAACCGGAAGCCACTAAATCAAAATAAAGATACCAAAAACATAACATTACCCAAAGAACAATCTCAAATCAAACAGAGGAACGAATTAAAACAAAAACAAGCGAACAGAAATGGAACATGAAAAAAAATGATACCGTCTTTGAACTGAACAAGGCCGAGGTCACCGAGGTAAGAGACGGCGATTTGAGCGGACTCGCTGGGGATGACGAGTTGAACGAGTTGCATAGGCTCCGACAGTCGGATCGAGTCACAGGTTCCTCTCTCTTTCTATCAATCAATCGTCGAGGAGTAAGTAAAACCTCCTGCAAAATTGTTGCATGTGGGTAATATAATAATAATAATAATAATAATAATAATAATAATAATAATAATAATAATAATAATTGTAAATTGATAAATAGTATTTGAATAAAAAAGTTTATGCCTATTTAATCAAAAAAAAAAATTTATGCCTATGTTTGATAACAATTAACAAATAAACTACTTTTATAATCTATTTTGTTAGTTTATAAATTTTCTATACTCAAATGAATTCATTTGATAGGAAAAACTTTTTGAAAAGACGAGTTGATCTAAAAGTTTTTTTGTGTAACTTTTCAAATATGTTTGTTTAAGTTTTTATTATAGTTGGTTTATCTGTTTATTTTACCACACACTTTTATCATATAAGTGAACTTTTCAACTGTAAGCTATAAACTTGAAATTCACTTAGGTTATGTTTGGTAAAATTAGCTGATAAACTAGCTTATAAGTTACAAGTGATTTTTAGTTTATAATTATAGTTTATTACTTATAATTTAAAAACTAGCTTATATGATAAAATGGTTGGTAAAATTACTAATAAACAAAATAAAATATTCAACAAGCTTATTTAACAAGATACTTAAGGAAGCTAATGAAATAATGCTTGGTAAAAGTAGCTTATAGCTCTATCTTATAGCTTATCAGTAATTTTTGAACTTTTTAGCTTATGACTTATAACTGAAAAGGTATTATTTAATGCAAATGTTTGATAAAATTAGATGATGAGTTAGTTGAAATAAAAATTTCAACGAACTTATTTGAAAAGTTACCCAAATATGCATATCAAATAAGCTCGAGCTTTTTAAAGAAACTCGTACTACCAAACAGAACTTATTTGAATATAGGAACTAGGAAGCTTATAAGTTAACAAATAAATTATAACCTAGCTTATTTTTCTACCAAACATATCTTTTAAAATAAGCCCATAATCTTCAGGAACGTTCGCAGGTTCGAATCATGCCTAGCTGTCTCATCACTGTAAAGTTCCGCCTACTGGCCTTTTATAAAACAATATTTACTTCAGTTGATTTCTCAATTAATTTAGTAAAACAATTTTATCATATAAGTTAGTTTTTCACTCATATGCCATAAACTATCAGTTATAAATTCGAAATGCACTTAACTATCAACTAGCTTATAAAACATAGTCTTAATTAGAGGTGGCCAGGTGCTGGGTCCGGGCCGGGCCGCCAGATCGGCGGGCCTCAATTGTTGGACTCGTAACCGGCCCGGCCGACGGTTCGTTGAACCGCCGGGTTAAAAAAAAATAATAAAAAAAATAACTATGACCCATCGGAAAAATCAGCCCGGCCTGACGGGTCAAAAATGGATAAACGACGACCCTTACCCAGGCTTTAAGAAAATTCGGGCCGATTCATAACCACACTTATACGGGCCGGGCCGGTTCCGGTTCCGGGCCACGGGTTGGGCCATGTCTAGTCTTAATTCATTGAGAAGGCTTTCTTGAGGTAAACACGGTATTAGAATACAATTATAATAATTTTCTCACTGTGCTTCACTCGTCAGAGCTTTGAAGGGTCAAATTAATGACAAGAAAAGAACAAAAGAATCCAGCATGTTTTAAGGGGGGATGTACTCAAAATTTTTCACTGTGGGAAGTGAAATTTGCCAGTGTCTGAACTTTAAAAGCGGGTTTTTGAACCTCAGATTCGCACCACACATTTGGAGAAGTCGCATTCACCTAAGCCATTATTTGTTTCCACTGTTTATAAAGTTGTTGATTTGAAAGCACAAACAGTGGATTCATTTGTTGTGTTGCACCACAGAGTCCACGTGTCGCCATCTCCGTGATCATCGTGATATCCACAGAGACATTTTCGCCTTTTTAATTTCTCCATCCCCAACTCCCAAGCTTTTTATGTCTATCCTATGCATCTGATAATATATGTGTGTCAGTTTGTGTTGTGTATAGTTTTTTTTTTTTTTTTTTTTTTT